AGACAATGTTTCTCCAAAGGCTCTAAAAGTAATCTCTGCTCTTGTGTCGTTGGTAATGAGCTTCTAGGTCTTCATTGATGATAGAACCTCGCACGTCAACTCCCAATACATGGGCTCCTGAATGCCTCAATAAATCAAAGAACAATGGTCCCGTTAGCGTCAATGAAACAAAACTGTCAGAATATCTCAAATCACCTAGATGCTTAATCATATTTAGTTTGATATGTTTTTTTTTTTAAAATAGAGCACAAACAAAAAATTATAGCAATTTGGGGAAAAACTGTACTACCACATGGCAGGAAGGAGGGATGACTATCATCCCTTCGCGGCGTGAACAAAATCAGACTCTATTTCTACGTCTCACGAAAATACATGATTTTATTTTCTTCTTTACATGCTATGGACTGGCAATTTTCATGCTCCAATTTGAGAGGCATTATATTGAGAGGTTAAGATACTATGTTAATTATTTAATTGATGATAACTTGACAAGCACTAGCTTCGAGGCTTTGGCTTTCTGACTTGTCTTCCTACTTGGTCTAATTCAATAAACCGAGTTACTCCTACTTACTCGGCTTGTACATGGTGATTTTAATGACCAGGTGAGATTAGCTTGCTCTCAGTTAAAATTAAATTGAAATACTGAAAATAAAAATGGGTCATTATTATAAGGTTAAAAGATAACTTAGGGCCTTCAGTTCAATAGATTAATATCTTTAAGGTTTTAATAATTTCTAAAACTACAAATTCTGTGTTTGTGGATATGGAAAAAGAAAGAAAACTATGTTAGTTATACTAACATTTAGTGCTGACATTACTCGAATTGTAGCATATTTTACTCAAAATCTAAATTTCTTATGCAAGGGCTAATAATCACAACTTGGACTCGGCATAGCAGCCACTCAATTAAGAGTTCTGGCTGCTTCCTTCTTTAACTTTATCAAAATAAACCTCGATCATATCATATTAGTTTAGAAAAAAAGAACGAAAAGAATCACCTCGCACGTGCGGCGTTTGCCAGATAGGCGACGCTTCTTGGAGGCGATTGTGCAGGGTACACGACTGGAGACTAGAGGAATCACTTTTCTTCTCCTGATCTTTTTGTTCTTTCTTTTCAGAATGGAATCATTGCTCTTCCCCATTGTTGGTGGGGTGCTAAGCTTATTGGACAAGGAGTTAGATATGTGGTGTAGACAGCAGGTTGAAACCGCAAAATTGAAGCCGGATTGAGGCAAGCTTGTTTGTTATTCTAAAGGGATAAAGCTCAAAAAGGACACTAAGGTTATTTACGAATCTCAAAATGGACACTTAACTTTTAAGTGGACCAAATTAACACATAATTCCCTTATTTGGATCCCATTTGGCCATCCACTCACGTCTCAATTAAACGGTGTCTACTCAATACTAACGCTACTCTTCTCTCTTCATGTATACCCCCAATCAAATTTGCCAACGAAGCATAATCTCCAACATAGTTTCAAGGCTTGAGAAGAAGGTTCCAGACCCTCCTTCAATGGTCGGGCACTGGTTGGTAGTTCTGGTTCCCTTCCCTTCTTGTTAAGTCTTGCTCTGGATCTGTATTATGTTAGTCGTGACGGAATATCTTCAGCATTTGCTCTCTGTATATCCAATCCATCCATATAAATTTCAATATGTCACTTAATCATAAATAAAAGCACTTAACAAAATAAAAAATTGAAACCAATCTATTAGTCAGTCAATGGCTAATAGATTAATATAAACCCGTGTTTCTTTCTCGGACGAAAAGATCTCAATGGCTTATTCTAATGGTACAACAGCAACTTAGTTGGACATGGGGAGAACGTTTCGAGGTATGCCAAAGGTGGCAAAATATATTGACCAAAGCATTGATACTCACTTACCCACTGCACCAGATCTATCAGCGGAAGAGGGCGTTTTTGACTTGTGGTGATGGCCCAGAGCAGAGATTTGGTTCATATTTTCAAAATGCCAATAACGCCGGTGCTAAGGGTTTGTGAATTACTGAACAAATGAATGAAGATATGAATATACTGCGCATTCAATTGCTATGGGGGCAACTTTATTTCTATTTATTTGATTTGTAGCTACAAATTGAAATGGATAAAGGATTATTAGCATAAGAATGAAACGTTAAAAGATGACACTGTTAAAAGAAATGTTAGTGGGTGGTCAAATATAGCTCTAATAAGTGAATTATGTCTTAATTTGGTCCACTTAAAAGCTAAGTGTCCAATTTGAGATTCGTAAATAACCTTGATGTCTTTTTTGAGCCTTATCCCTATTCTAAATTAAACGTGAAGGTGCTTATGTATTTCAACGTATTCGTGGGCTTTGTATCCATAAGGGTTTCAACTTTCAAATGCTAAGCACCGAAGCTATCTTACAAAAAGCCCAATAACAATCATCATAATCTTAAAAGCTATTTCGTTCAAAAAGAATGACACAAATATTACCTCCCATCTTTTATTAGACAAAAATATGTCTGGATTTACTTTTGATAAAAAAAGTGACCGTGAGTCCGTGACCCGGCCCTTGCTGCGCACGAAGGACCTTCATTTCTTTCATCCTCCTTGCTGCACACAAACCCGGGGACAGACAAGTCATCAATGCAGCGCCCATCTCCTCTTCGTGCACAGAGCCTGCCCATATCCTCCGCGCACAGAGCACCACCCCATCTCCTCCCGCACAGAGCCCCCCATGCATGGACGGAGATAGAGGGGGGTCAACCTAGGCCCTGTCCCACACCAACTTAAAAAAATGCCTTAGTTTTTAGTGTAAAAAATTTCGTGTAATTTTTTCTCAAAACTATTATTTGTACCGGCGCAGTCTGATTTGATGCCCTGGCTCCGCCCCTGGAGCCCCCCATCTCCTCCGTGCATAGAGCAGTCCGACCGTCGTTCCTCTGCTGTCTTGGTCGTCTCCATCGCTTTGGTTGATTTATTGGCAGCGACATCTGAAATTTGAAAACAAAGTAAAGTTTTACGTACACAAGTATTCCATCCGTTTTATTGGATTTTGTTAAATTCTCTCTATATCTTTCGCCTCTATACAAATCTCAATCACACAGTTTTTTATTTTCCTTATTCCACACCTAAATCGAATTAGCCAATGTCTAGAAGGAGGGAGGAGGTTTATATTTTAATAATAATGCAAGCAAGAAAAGTTCCTAAATAGAGCTATCATAACATTTCTATTGTAATCTATATTCACTCTAGTAATGGATGTGTTAACACCACTCAAATAGAGTGAATTGAGCTTGTTTATGTAAGGATGACGTGAAATATTATTTTAAAGTTTTGTTAAAATTATATCTGGCTTGTTTTTTGAAAGGAGATGACTTATTTATTATAAGTGGTGCAAATAACAAGAGGCAAAGTAAATGAAGTAGCTCAAAACTACCCTGGAGTGACATATAGAACTAACTAGCCTGAGGGGAACAAAAATGCAGGATATACCAGGAAGGAAATCAAACTGAGATTATCACATGATATGTGGAATTCCCCAACCTTCTCAAGATTCCTTGTTGCTGCTACGATGCTATCGACCTTCGCTAGAAACCAGCAGCGGCAAGAATTATTATTATTTTGTTAGGCTCGGGAGGCTCCATGTATTGGACTATTCCACTTAGATAGCAGATTACATTTTAGATAGGGATGACATTTGTGACCGATCCGATGGATACCCGCACCGAACTGCCCCAGTCAAAACGGGGAATATCCGTTTTGTTTTTACGGGTAACGGGACGGTTACAATTTTATACATACCCGCCCCATTACCCGCCTCTAACCCCCCCCCCCCCCCCCCCCACGTTTATTTGTAGTTATATTTTGTTACATTCTTATCTATTATTTGTCTCACAATTACTAAAAGATGATATTTTTCTATTTTCATTTGTATATATCGATAATAGATGTACTAATTATGGTATATGAATGAAAGATCATAATAGATCTTTATAGTTTGTTTGATTATTAGAGTTTTTTCGTGATTAATTAATTTTTAGATTAAGTATTTTTAGGTTCAAATTAGTTTATGTTATCTTCTTTCTCGTCTTGTAGATATAAGAAACATTAAAGTGGCGTCTGAGTCTAGAGTCATCTAGATGATGTCATTTTTCTCCTTTTAAATATTATTTTTGTATTAAAATATCAATGATTCATTTAAGGGAGAACTATCAAATAAGCTCTCGAACTTTCATAAAAAGTGCAAATAAGCCCTTTTATAGGAGGCTCTGTCCGGCCGTCGCCATTTGGGGGTTTTCGGTGCAATGTTTTGATGGAATTTTTTGATCATCTTGTTCATTAAGTCTAGTTTACTCATACCAAATTTTTGCTAAAAATTCAATCGGGAAGGCAGTCAAATGAATTTTGGAAGATAACTGTGTAGTTAGAAAGCGTAGTATATTTCAGAAAATCATTTGTCTGTCTTCTTGATTGAATTTTTAGCTGAAATTTGGTATGGATAAACTAGACTTAATAAAGAAGATGCTCAAACAATTTCATCAAAAAATTCCACCGAAAACCGCCCTAAATGACAACGGCCGGACAAAGCCTCCTATAAAAGGGCTTATTTGCACTTTTTATGAAAGTTCGTAGGTTTATTTGATAGTTCTTCATTTAATAAAGTGATTACCCGTGGTTAACCGCGGTTATACCCGTTACCCGTTGGGGCGGTTATGGTTTGGGTAAAAATTACCCGTTGGGTAATGAAGTGGTTACGGGGCAGGGGAATTTTCCAACGGGACAGGTACAATTATATGTAAAACCGTCCCCGATCCGTCCCGTTGTCAGCCCTAGTTCTTGGTCTTGATTAGTTACATATAATGAGAGATTTAGAAGGCACCCATAAAATTTTAAAAAATTACACCACGAATCGAATGAACATATTGAATGGTTGACATTTTATATTTCCCTGTCTTTGTGTGTATCCCTCCATACATGAAATTTCGATCTTCCCAAATTGGTGTATCAAGATTTGTATTACCTGCCGATTGAAATGGCCAAAATTACAAACAGAATTAACAATGGCCTGGGCAAGGTTCCGGCCATTTTGACTAATGGATTCTTGATCGATTCTTTTTGTTTTGGCAAAACGTTAAAAAGAGTAAAAAAAAAACATTGAAATGATATGATCAAGCCACCATCTTCCATCACCTATGGCTCATATGATCATCCCTTAAAATGTGAGAAAAGATGGCCTCTTTTCAACTGGAAATCTCCCCTTCTTCAGAGTTCGATTTTATAATGAGGAATCATCATAGCCGCCAAAACCATTGCAACACCGGAGATTCCACCTCTTTCCCGGAGAATCTACAGGATTTGGTGCATTCTTGCATTTCTGATGACCCAAGGAATTCAAATTTAGCGGATTCCAACGACAATGTCAACAACGTTGTCAACCTAACAGATTTATGGGTTCACAAACCGCAATATCTCACGAACATCAATGAGAAAACTCCGAAGAAGCGAGGCAGCAACAAGACAACGGATAATTGGGACAAAGCAAGAAAAAAGGTCTTCCCCAAGCAGGGAAAGTACGCTAACAAAGTAGCTTTTGTCGGAGAGCCGTTAGAGGCACCTAGGGTCGTCTCTTCACTTGTGAAAAAGTGGAGAGACTTTGAGGCCGAGGCCAAACCTCTAGCGTCTGGTGACAACAATAATAACAACAACATTAACAATAATAGTAACGATTCATCATCTTGCCCTACTAGAACAAACTCTGGTGTGACATTACTCCAAGAGAGCATTTCATTTGTTGACATTCCTCCAACATGGTCAAGAGATTGTGACTCATCCTCTAATGAAGACGAGTCACCAACGAACGACAACGACTCATTTAAGGATTGGGAATCAGATAGGCGGGCAGTGAGCGCTCCACCCTCCGTTCGAGGAAGGGATTCCGATGCAACAGAGAGCGAAAGGGTGAGAGTAATCGACATCATCAAGAAACTCACCTCTAGTGGTGGCGATGATAATCAAGACCGTGAGCACATGAGCAATGTGGCGGTGAATGAAGCGCCGCCGCTCGCTCGGGTTAATAAATCTTGTACTGAACATGGGAGTTCAAATTGTCCTGTTGTGCAGTCGCCTCGCATCAGCATTAGAGGTCGTCAAGCGCTGAATGATTTGATTGTGCAAATAGAACGGGAGAGAGCCAGGGAGCTTGAAGGACTTATGGAACGTAAAGCAGTATCTAAATTTCAACAAAAGGGCCGCATTCAGGTTGTTCTAAGCAATAACAAAAATGCTATGGCTAGGTACCCCATTTTGGGTACCCATTCTTAAACCCCCTATTGTGTGACCCAAATGGGGAGATACATTTAAGTGTTGCCTCATTTGGACCACACAAAGTGTGAGATAAAAATGGGTACCCAAAATGGGATATCTATAGCACAACTCAAGCAATAATGGCATCATATTCTTGTTTTTTATTTTTCAAGATTACTCTGATATACTACCTTTGTCCCGAAAAGGTTTGCCAAATTGACTTTTCTTGGTCAATGATAACAAACTTTGGACAATGATTTTAACTATTATATTTATATAAAATTGATAAATTTTATACTTTTATGAAAATATTTTGAATAAGAAACATTTGATATAATTTTCATATTTAAAATAATTAGATATTAAAAATATAATTGGTCAAAGTTGATTGTCATTGACCAAGAAAATTCAATTTGGTGATTTTTTTCGGGATGGAGGGAAAAAGAGACTAACTGATTTAGTTCCGTTACTTTTGTTTGAGTCCACTTTAAATACTCTAACTTTATTTAAGTATTACTTGCAAAATAGGTCAAATAACTACAGTAATAATTTTGTCTGACATTGCCATTGAAAAGTACAATTTTCATGCAAAAAGGACTGGAAAAGTTACCGCCGGTTTTAAACTTTTTACCAGAAATCGTACATTTTGATTGTAAGTCTCTAATGTGGACAAAATGATTACGTACAAAATCTAATTTGCATGTGAATTTAATTAATTACACGAGTAATATTAGACACATAACTAAATGGTGAAACTAAATTTACATTTTTTTTATTAAATACTCCGTATTTATCTCACTTTCTGTGTCATTCTTATTTCTTAATTAGGCTATGCTCAAGCTTAAATTTCTGAGACGTGAGGCGAATATGAAAGATGCACCACGGGGAAACTCAAGTTGCATTACGCCTGAATCAAGTAGGTCAACGAAATCTTCTATACTGCACCTTAGGTGAGAGGCTCTTTTCAAGATTCAAATTAAACCTATAGTTTTCATATTTCCACAGTGACTACAGTATGTAATGTAAAACTAAGTGCTTGGTGCCTAGGTGACTAGGTGAGGCTAGGTGGGCATCTAGACGAGACTAACCGGAGAAATATTAATTAAATTTTTGTTAATAGTTTTGCATAAATATGACAAATAATATTGTTTTTGACACACTAACATGCATGAATAATTATTATGTATAACTAATCACTTAACTTCATTACATAATAAATAATTAAATAATAATAATAAAATAAACCTAAGAATGTATTAAAATATACGTAGTAAAAAACTATAATAAAATAATAATCAATTTTTAACCTATAATAGCAGGGTTTTTTAGATTAAAAAACTATAATTTTTTTTGAACAAATATAGAAAAAATGTGTAAAATTTTCAGAATGTCAAAGTCAATATTTTTGCATTTTAGAAATTATTTTTATGTACATCTATTTAAAACGCTTTTAGATTTGTTATTTTATACTCCCTCCGTTCCTTAAAATTTTGCCAAGTTTGACTGGCACGTAGATTAATAAAGTAAAAACTGTCGGTTCAAAAAAAAAGTAAAAACTTTATGGTTGAGATTTGTGCAGAGGAGAGAGAATTAACAGAAATCACATATTCATTACTTGAAAAGGAAAGTGACAAAGTTAGTGGGACATCTAAAAAGGAAAGTTGGAAAAGTTTTAAGGGGCGGAGGGAGTATGTTTTACATTTTGCTTTATTTTTCTGCTTTTGATTTTTTTAATATTTTTTATTTTAATATTTTAAAAATATTTATCGTTTTGTACATTTATACTATTTTTTATATTATTAGTACAACATGTTTCAATTTTTTTTTAATTTTTGTAAGATTTATCAATGGGCCTTACTTATTTTTTAAACAATAACATGTTATAGCATGTCAAAATGATTTGATTGATATTATTTTATATGTAAGAGTACTTATATGATGCTTTTTTTTTGTATAAGGGCTTTTTAGTATTAGATTCGAAATAGTAGAAGAATTTATTTAACCTTTTTACAAAATATTATTAGCTTAGTGCGTAGTACTAAATCGGTAAATCCTATATAAAAGGTTCCGATTTTAACATTTTGCTCAAATTTACAAATCTTCACTGTTAAGACCCGAATTCCATCCTAAATGGTCAACCTAATAGGAGGAGTAGTCCAAAATCTTATATAGTGTTTTATTGTTTTATAGATTTTCGGTGTGAGGCAAATACTTTAACACGTCACCTCAACCGAACCTTGGATGGACTATATTGGGGTGTATAAATGAGGCAAACGGATCCTTAATTGTGAATGTGAAACAAGCAGACAAACAACAATGGAACATGACTCTGATATCATGTTAAGACTCGGGGTTCTATCCATCCTAAAAATTCAACTCGATATTAGGAGTAACCCAAATCCTAAAAGTTTAACACTCGCATATGTTAGCACATACATTCATAAGCGGTCAGAACATGAAGTTTGCACATGTGGTCATATCAGTACGACAAAGTCCACTTGGAGAAATCTCAAATGTATTCACAATAGAGTTGATATTTTCATTTTTTTGTATCAAGTCTTCCATCCTATAATAATTATACTTTTACTTTTGTATTCTTTTAGGTCAACATTTGACCATAAATACCTGAAGGTATATACTTATGAAATCTATAAAAATTTCAAAATTGAATAATTTATTTTTGTGTGATAAAGTAGTGCAAATTTTAAATAACTATCAGTCAGAATTTATAAAGCTTGACTCAAAAAGATAAATTGGGAATTTGTTTATGGAAGTAACTTATTTGTAGAGAGACGCATGTTATTAGCGAACCCACCTAAGATAAAAGGTGTTCACAATAACATTCAAAATGTTAAAAAGCGTGTAAGTATAGATGTCTAATTTTTGAGTAATTATTTATTACTCCTTAAAGTTTTAATTTGAACACAAGAAACCTAAATCCTAAACTCACCACTAACTACATGCTTTGATTTCATACATGTTAGTCATTTTTTTGTTAGTCATTTTTGTCAATGATATTAAAGACAGATGATCAACACATTTCAACTTGCAAATTGTATTGAAAATAAAGGCTTCAAAACATAGCAAGTTTTCTTCAAAAATTATTTTCATTTGCTTCATCAAATGTCAGGGAGAAATTCAAAGAAGTTGTTCAAAAAGGTTTAGCAGATTCAAAAGCCACCATTGAAGAAGCTTCCGGTGACAAAAACTTAGAACTCGAAACTGTTTCCACATCAAAACCCGAAAAGGAGAGCCACCGTGAAGAGACTCCAGATGAACTCTATCAAAATAAAAAAGAAGCTACAAAAAATGCCTCAAAACAAATGGATGAAATAGGAACATCAGTTACTCAAGCAAGATGTGAAGTAAGATGTGAAGATGAGTTTACAAAATGTGTAGATACGGTGAAAGTTATTCGTAAGAATAGTAATGAATGCAAAAATATGAGTGAATGGGAGGAGAACGATTGGAGCTGGGTGAGTGATTGCTCTCACGATGATGCAAATAGTAGCAGGTGGGATCAACTGCAATTTGATTTCCAACAAGATGATGATCTCCAACAGCGTGTAGAAGAAATGTGTCAAGATTGGATTAATGATGTTTCCCGCCCTCGTAGTCAATGGGAAGACCTAAGGCAAGCAAGATACCAAGAGATGCTCGATCCTTTCTTTAATAATGGTGACTTGCAACAACTTCTTGAGAGGTATGTCAAACTAGTTTATGTCATGCTTTTAAATTGTGATTCTAGTTGTGATCATTGTGGTTGTAGCTATTGCGGCTACTGCGATGCGTATAGCTAGCTGTCTATGTAGTGTGATTTAATTTTAGATTCACAGTATGAGAAAAAATAGTGTTCCGATCCCAATACGGTTACATTGCAGTTTTGGTCGTGAACTCTAAAAATATCTCTATTGTGGTGTGTTGCGGTTGCAATGTGGGCCGCATTACGTGTTTCAGTCCGCAATTAAAACTCGGGAAATTTCCAGGAATATGACTAAAACATATTGAGTTTCCCTAAATATGACTAGTTATGTTTTTAGACATTCGTATGACTGAAAAAGAAAAAAATCGACCATATTAAAATGTTTAATGACCAAAATACCCTTATTTTAAAAAATGAGCATTTTACACTGTTTCGTCCAATTAAAAATATTGCACTTTATACTGCAGTTACTGCACGACATTACTGCAAGATATTACTGCACATCCGGTACCATATCACTACACTTCCTCCAACATTAGTTCTCTTTTCATCAACTTTAAGAATTTAATTATTGTTCATTTTTTAAATTTAATAATTTAAAATATATTGCAATTCATGCCGGTGTTATTGCTCTACATTGCAACACTGCAAGTCATAATCACTGCATTTTCTGTCAATATTACGGCACAACTACTAGCATTCGATTTACTGCACAAAATAATTCGTCGATCAATGCATTCATTCATTGCACATGTACAACATTATCTATCGCCATATTGACTCCTCAATGTCCTCATACTCAATCATATTTATTACCATATTCATTGCTCATGTTCACTGTCCATATTCAATGGTCATGTCTACGAACCCTAATTTCAAGAAATTCAAAAAACTCCTCTTGTCCCATTAGATTCCATGTGCATGAACCATACTCACTACTTCATCGATCAATTACCACCTTCTATCTCAAATTTGTCAAACATCATCAATCAATTATTACTTTGCCCACAACGATTTAATAATCCCGATGGAAAGGACAAAATTGTATCCGAAGATAAAAATAGATGTGACGCACAAAATTGAAATAAAAATCGTGGGGAAGATGCGATGAATCCTTCGGGGAGGCTCTTCGCTAGATCTGCAATAAAGAGAAATGTGAGGATGTCAAATCACATACATCATATGAAGTACATCCTCACTTCTTTAATTCTTGTAACATTTTGATTTTTTCACTATTCACAAACCTTTCTTTGACCACGATTTTATATTTATATACATAATCAAATTATTACGTATAAAATGTTATTAAATTCCTATCAATGTGAATTTCCAAAATATCAAATTTTTATAATGTTTACTAATACATAATTAAATATAATTATAGTCAAAGTTGTGCGTTGGTAAACGTGAAAGTCAAAATGTTGCAAGAATTAAAGAACAGATGATAGTATGTATATTCCATTGGATTGTAATCGACGAAGATTAAAGAAGTTGCAGGCGATGGCTGGGCGGCTGGGTTGTGGTGGCTGGGCGGCGATGGCTGGCGGCTGGGCAGCGATGGCAGGCGGCTGGACGGCGGTGGCAGGGGGACTGGACGGTTAGTGAACTACAACTAGGGTTGGAGAAGAGGTATAGGATGTTAGGGTTTTATAACAATAACCTAAGGGCATATGACTGCATATAAATTATTTATTTAATTATTTATTAATATATTAATTAAATATTACGAATTTTAATGTTATTTTAGAGAAAAAACTAATTAAGTCATAGATCGAGAAAATGATGGAATTTTAGTCATAGGATAATTATCTCTTAAAACTTGTAGTTCGTGTAACCCTCTTATCACATCAAGGCTTTGGACCATGTCTTTTTTTGTGCATTATAACTGGTTTGAATTTCATGCTTTGAATTACAACTTTATTCCGTTTTTGTTTGTTTTCAAATTTCTAGCACTATAATTAAGCTTCTTTTAAAGATCTGTTTTGAATTTATAAATTAAGTTACGGAGATTTACCATAAAAGTACGTAGTATAATTTATCAACCACTTAAAAACTTAAATGTAAGACTTCAAATTCTTCATGAGTATCAAATTATCAATGTTTTATGGTTTATAGAAAACCAAATTTGTAAGAGTATTTTCATACTATAAAAACAATATCTCGTCTGTTCCATATTTGAATTCTCACTTTCCTTTTGGGATGCCCCATAGTATCATATGGGCATCATATTAAAGTCAGACATCCATTAAATGTAATATTCATGTGGTAAAACGCATTTATATCCTCCAACTTACCCCCCCCCCCCCCCCCCCCCCCCCCTTTTACTGATAAGGGTAGAAGAGGAAAGTGAATAAAAAATATTATTCCACGTAAAAACTTATGAAACCAAAATGGGAAGTTAAAAATGAGACCGGGGGGGGGAATCTAAAGGTTAACAAACTTTGAGATCGAATTTGAAAAGGTGAATATTGCACTCAACAAAGGGAATATTTTTTAATAAAATTCATAATAGTATGTGATATGTATAATAATTAGAAAACATATTTTCTAAAGCAGTGAAATCTAAAAATTCATCTTTCTATTTTATAGTTCTTACTTTTCATCTACAATTCCACCATCTTACCTTAGTAACTGATTGTGAAAGTTTTTATCATTTTAAATTCACAATCAAAATGCCATAACCTTCTTTCATTTTGAGAATATAAAAACCTGTCTAAGTGACATTAATTAATCCACTCGCATGGAGAGTTTATAGTTGTGTTTTATTACTATGTGCAGGAAAAGTGTTTCAAATTTTCTTTCAGGTGAAAAGAGAGACAAAATAGATCAATTGATGATATCTCGCTCACAAAAACAACCAACCATAGTAAATAGTGGCATTGAACAAACACAAGAGCATGGGATGGAAATGGTTGAGGACAAGATAGAAGAGGCAGTCCAAAGTGTTATTGAAGGAAATCTAAACCAAGAAGAGGAAGAGAATGTAGATAGTATTAACAATAACCAAATACCACAACATAATAGTGAATGTGAGATAAATGATGAATCTTATCATATTGCATCAACATCTTTATCTCAAGGTCAATCACCTAACATTATTATTCCTCAAGCTAATGTGAGTATATTATCATTGTTCTTTTATATTGTTAAGTGCATGTGTTACTTTATTAATCAAGTCCATCTAAGAGATTTATTTCTAACATATTTAATGCTCTTCGTCTATAGGAAATGAACTTTGTTGATGAGTTAATGGGTCATATGCACCAACTTCATCAAGAGATTTCAGAAATAAGAAGAGCCATCATTGGTTGCATAGATATGCAAATGAAACTGCATCATTCAATCAAGAACGAGGTTGCATCCGCTTTTGATAACTTAGGTAAGCTCAAGGAAGATTCTCTTATCTAATTAATGAAATCTGTAATTGTTCGTATAGCCTTTGAACAAGCTAAGGTTTAAAATCAATTTGAAAATTATAAATTCGGTTAACAATATTATAAAATCAAAACAGTAATGACAAATTGCAATTCTTTTAATGCAGGCAAACAAAATGGGAGGACTTTGTCCAAGACAAATTATTGTAGTGTATGTCATGAGATCACCATCAATTCACTTCTATATAGGTAATAATTATATTGTGACTGAACACATTGGCCTAAAATAAACTTAACCTCTTCAAATGTGAAGTGAAACTAGTTAGAGAATTCTTTAAAGAGAAAACGGTCAAATAAGACCTTCTGCTATTATGAAATAGTCACATAAGGTCATGTACTCAATAAAGTGTCATATAAGTACATTTACTTCTAAAAAGCAATCAAATGAGTCCTAATGACCTATTTAACACCTCTTAATCCCGGTTTCAACGTACTTCTGACCATCTTTTTAGAATACGTTATACGGCATATGTCGAATATTTAACTAAGATTGGTTGAAATACAAGTCAAAAAAATCGACATGTAAGCTAAAATCGGGATTCTGAGGTGTTAAATAAGCCACTGGGACTAATTTGATTGTTTTATACAAGTAGAGGTACTTATATGACATTTTATTGAGTACATTACCTTATGTGACTATTTCGTAATAGTAGAAGGCCTTATTTGACCCTTTTCTCTTCTTTAAATGGTGTAAACTGTAAAGTAGTGTCATCCTAAAATCAATTCTGAAACTATCAAGCATTAATATATACTACCTCCGTTCCTTAAAACTTTGTCAAAGTTGACCGACACGGAGAATAATAAAGTAAAAACTGTGTGGTTGAGGTTTGTGTAGAGGAGAGAGAAATAACAGAAACCACAAAATAATTGATTAAAGGGGAAACTGGCAAAGTTTTTTGGGACGTCCCAAAAAGGAAAGATGACAAAGTTTTAAGGAACGGAGGGAGTATACGGCAGTATAATTTGAGGATCACATGATTTACTCTCAAAACCACCTCGTGAAACTAATCATGATTCAGTGTACTATAAACAGATGTGGACATATGTGCACCTGCTTCAAATGTGCCCAGGAGTTGCAACGTGCCAATGAAAAATGTCCAATTTGCCGAGCTCCAATAATGGATGTTGTTTTTGTGAATCCATCCACGCGTGAGGTTCTATGAAGGTGAATGTTAATACACGTGATTTCGAGGGGAGGATCTATGTACGGGGTATGGTGGGCTGAAGGCCTGGATAAATTAGAAAATTTTCAGTTTTTTTAGTGTAAAATTTTTCAATTTTCACATTTAGCCCACCCTGCTAATATTTAAGCCTAGTATAATTCCTATTCAGCTCAGAGCATCTCGGGTTCCTAGATCCGCCCCCTGGTGATTTCCATTGCTGAGACAACATGAGCTAAAGAAAATACATAAACTATTTGTTAGTTTTTGTGTATATTTGAGTTTGGAAAATAGAAAGATGATACACAATCTGATTGACATTAATAGTCATATGTACTTCATCCAATTTTGTAGTACGCAAGAGTAAATTCAACACATGGGACGAATTTGAGTACTCCCTCCGTCCCGAATTGAATTGCAAACTTTGACTGGCACAAGGATCAAGGAATGGTAATAAATAAAACTTGCTTTTTACACTTTTGTCCATCTTCCTAAAAGTAAATGTCTTTAAGTTAATGAAAAAAAGTAAAAGTACGGGCAAATTTGTTACTTAATTCTTATTTACATACCTAAAAAAGAAAGTGGAAAACCATTTTGGGATAACCAAAATAGGAAATTTTGCAAATCAAATTGAGACAAAGGGAGTATTATATATATAATGTGAGACCTAAGGTCATACATTGGGAGAATACACTTTAGACGATGAAATTTAATAAAGTAATCTATGGACTAATTTTAAAGAAAGAATGACAAAATTATTACCCATGAGGTTTGAATGGACACAACTATGACCATTTTAAAACTTGACCAAAATGTGACCATACATAACCCTTCTCTCCTCCGTTTGTCGATATATCAACCGACAACTTCCCTCTCACGAACTCCCACAGTCGAAGCTCGCACTACCATGGCCTCTAACTCGCCGGCTACACCTTCTTGTCGCGCCTCTGCCAGCGTCCCACACCTCTGCCTCCGCCAGCGTCCCACTCCTCCGCCGGTATTCTACATCGCCGTCTCCGTCGACATCCAATGTCTCTGTCTGCCGCGTTTCTTCTTCTTTTTCTTAAATTTGTGTCCGATCGATTAAGAGGTGACAAGATGGATGAGCATGGTAGAACGCGATCGAAGTTCGCGACGGCTAGGTTTAGGCCCTTGATTTTAAGATCAGGTCGGTGGCGGCTATGGAAACCCTTGGATTTCACTTGTTAGTCTTATGGCTAGATTTCTCCTATGCAAAGGGGGCGCAAGTTGGTTTAAAAGCAGGGGCGGCGGATGGGGGAAGGGTGTTGGGCAGCGATTTTGCAGGACTGGGGCGGGGTTTGGTGGGGTTGGGGAATGGGGCGGGTGTGGTGGGTCTGGGGAGGCGGCTAGTCTGGTCATAGTTATGGTGGCAGAAGTCACCGATGACAGTTTTGCTAGTCGAGATTGACGGGTGTGTGAGGCCGAGTGCAGGTGTGGTGGTTGGGATTTGGGAATCAGTTTTGGGCTGGCTGTGGCGGTGGCCACAGTTACCTCGTGTGTTAGGCAGCGGTGGCGTGGTGGTGGGGTGGCCTTCATAGGGCTGGGCAGGCTGTGGTGTTTGGCAGGTGGTTGGTAGGTTGGGGAGGGGGCTGGTAGGCCACAGTCACATGGCGGTGGCCACAGTGACACGGGCGGTGGTCATAGTGACACGAGCGGTGGTCACAGTGACACGGGGCGGTGGCCACAGTGACACGGGCGGTGGTTACAGTGATACCGGTGGTGGCGACAGTGACACCGGTGGTGGCGACAGTGATATTCGATAGTGACATTAAATTTGATCAGTAACATTAAAATGTGGTAATGACATGAATCTGACTACTTTAGTCACATTTTTGTCCAAATATAAAAGTGGTCACATTTTAGGAAATCACATTTAATTTAGTAATATTGAAGGAATAACCCCAATTTTAAATACGTAACCAATAAATTATTTCCAAATATAACCTCTCAACGTGAAGCATAAAGGTTATAAATTCCCAATAATAAAAATATAGTTATATTTCTAAAATAGCTCGATTTCCTTAGATAGGTGAAAAAAAATCAAAAAAATAGTTTTAAAAAGTAAAAAAATAGTTATATATTTTGAAAAATACATGATTTATATTTACTGAAGAATATGATCTTATTCTCTTTTACTAAATATCATAAAAGATGTCATCTTCATTCCGAATAATTTTCCATGTCGATACCAAAAGTGAAGTGTTTGTCTTCATTTTGATAAATTAATGCTTTGAAATAGATTATGACGTCAGTATGATAGACAGAAATCCTATACCTAAAAGTACTACACTGGAGAGAGAAAATTATCCCGTTTAAGCATTCTCCGTCTAAAATCCTAAAATGTAATTTCACTTTCCACAAAAAAAATTCATCATCATCATCATCATCATCATCCTATACCTAAAAGCACTACACTGGAGAGAGAAAATTATCCCGCTTAAGCATTCTCCGTCTAAAATCCTAAAATGTAATTTCACTTTCCACAAAAAAAATTCATCATCATCATCATCATATACCTAAAAGCACTACACTGGAGAGAGAAAATTCTCTCGCCTAAGCATTCTCCGCCTAAAATCCTAAAATGTAATTTCACTCCCCCCCCAAAAAAAACATCCTATACCTAAAAGTACTACACTGAAAAAGAGAAAATTCTCCCGCCTAAGCATTCTCCGCCTAAAATCCTAATATGTAATTTCACTTTCCGCAAAAAAAAAATCATCATATACATAAAAGCACTATACTAGAGAGAGAAATTATCCCGCCTAAGCATTCTCCGCCTAAAATCCTAAAATACAATTACGCTTTCCACAAAAATAATCATCATCCTAAAATCCTAAAATGTAATTTCATTCTATACCTAAAAGCACTATATTGGAGAGAGAAAATTTTCCCGCCTAAGCATTCTCCGCCTAAAATTCTTAGGTTTGCAATGACCATTAATAAGAGTCACGGACAATCGTTGAAAAAAGTTGTTATCTTACTCTGACGCTTCATTATTACTCACAAACATTTGTACATGGCAGTGTGGAGAGTAACAAGTTCATGGGATTGAAGTTTCTAATGACGAAGATGGAAAATCAAACAAATCAACATTGAATGTTGTTTACAAAGAAATATGTACTATAGAGTAATTTTATAATTTTTGGTATAATGTGGTGGACTTAAATGCACATCCATTTCATCGTGTGATGTTTTACATTTAGTTCTTACCATTTATTCAGAATTTATATATTGTTTTCAAATAATTCTAACACAGTCATATTTTTTAAATATTTTTAAATATATAACTATATCTAAATTATTATGTGGGTGTCTCACTCCCGTGCAGCGCACGGGTGGAGTAACTAGTTTTTTAAAATTACACGCATAATGTATTTACTTTGTAACACATCGAATGTAATACTACCTCCGTCCTGATGGACTTTGCTAAGTGCAAAGTAGGTGAGAAATAAGAAAAGTAAAAATTGTGTGGTTGAGATTTATGCAGAGGAGAGAGAAATGTGCAGAACCACAAATTAGTTGCTTTAATTGGAAAGTTGTAAAATTTTTTGGGATAACCAAAAAGGAAAAGTTTGCAAAGTCCAATGGAACGGAGGGAGTATACAATAATAATGCCAAGGAATAACCAAACCTAGCGCATTCAAAGCATTTTTTACTCTGCTTCGCATAATATTTTGATAATTATTTGGTAATTCCAACAATTTTTATTTCTCACAAAATTACCCACAAAAAGAGTAATTCACCAAGCCAGCTTAGAGATCTAGACCCACTCGACATCAGGGTTAGGAGCATCATACTTGATCGGGTACGGGTCGGACTTCCGATCCTGAGTTGTCTATTTTGATATTTTATCTATTTTATATCTCTATTTTTTTCTTTATCACAACTTATATGAATTTTTATAAATTTATAAACTTTCTTAATTTCTTTTTCATGAATGACATTCTATAGTAGATCACGGTGGCTTAATTGATTGTATTTTCAAGCAAGCATTCTTCTATGATACTCTCTTCGGTTCTCAAAGAGGTTCATAAAAGCATTTTTACGTATTGAACCTTGAGAAATGTATAAAAGCATTTTTACGTGATTGTAAATTTTTATCGTTTCTATTACGTGAATAGTAAAATTCACGTGGGGCCCACACCGGATGTGGGGCCGCCCAATATTATCGGGACCACATATTATATTAATCTTGGACTAGATAATATGTATATGGTGGTGGATATCCTAATTGGGCCATGACAATGGCACAAGGGTGACCGGTTGGTCAAACGGGCTAAATTATCGGTATCGGCAATTTATCAGATAACAGCCCAAAAAGGGATTCCGAGAACCTATAAATTAAAGTTGGGGATTTCATAATGATTCTAAGGCCCAATAAGGATTGGGAACGAGTGTTATATTTTATTTGACCCAATAAAATAAAATATTCTTAAAACAGTCCGGAAAATACAACTTTCGGGACCGATTCTACACTTAGGGACATAAAGGGATGACCTCCCACATGAGTGGGGGCCACCCCACGGATTTTAGTGCTGCATATGTCAAGGGAGCCGCACAAAGAGAAGGAGGAGGGGAAAGAGAAGGGGTTGAGGGGAAAGGCATTAAATGGAGTAGGGCCTCCCACATGCCATGATTGTGAGAAATGCCAAGAAGGCATTCTCAATCATACCAACCCACCCCATTTCGTATCAGGCATCAACCAAGTGAGAGGAGCTCTGCAAATAAACCATTTTCATCCATCATACACGCACCAAGTTAAGGGAGGAAGAAGAAAGGGAAAAGAGAAGAGAAAAGAGGAGTTTAGGTGGGAAAACTTGTGTTTAACAAGGTAATGACTCCATTACTCCTATTTCTTGTTCTTCAATACTCTTTTATGATTATTCAATCATATTTCACACCCTAGTAATGTTCTACACGTTGGGATGTGTAGAAAGAGGGGTTGGAAGGTAGTTCTAAGTCCAAGAACGGACTTAGAAGCCAAAGTGACCGGTTCGCCGGAAAATAACCTTTTTGAGGTTATTTGTATTACTATGGGTTTTATGATGATAAAAACTTGTTAGTAACTTGTCTAAGGTATTCAATGAACTTTCACGGAGTTGAAAAGGTCGCCGGAGTTGTCGCCGGAGTTCGTTGAAGTTCGCCGGAGTTTCGTCGGAGCTAAATCGGGGAGGCTAGAACTTCATAAGCTTCATTAAGGTGAGAAGACGGCTTTATGCTTTATAACTTTTGCGTGAGGCATGAGATTACCTAAAGTAATCAGGAATATGTTTTGTGGAATGATTAAAGATAACCAAGTGTGTGTTTATGCCATGATTATACACAAAACATAGTTAAAAAGCATGTTATGTAGGTTTGGTGATTAAAAATGTGATAACATA